TCATGTATTGTGTTATATTATATTTCTGGAAAATTTAAGGGGTAGTTATATAATAATTTTGGATGATCTCGGGCGGTTGGATACTTATGACCGCTACTGTACCACTCTCCATTATACTGTTCACAATAAATCCTTTGACTTTTATAATATAATTCAAAAACACAATGCTGAAATATATTTTAATTGCTTAACAATTCCTTTATTGCATCGAAGATTTAACAATAATAAAGGTAATATGTTCTTCATCATATATCATAATTGGAACTTTCTTAAAGAAAATATGCAGTACATTTATTCGATCTAATAACTAGCAGCCTTGTTTTACTGAAATTACATCATCATGGCAAATCTTACGTGCAAATTTGAGTATATCATTACTGCATGTATCTGATAAGTTCCACCTAGTAAGTAATTCTATAAAGTCTCCAAATTCTTCACTTAGAAATTCTGGCTTATATGTTGTTAAACTACTAATATCAATAGACTCAAAGGTTTGAATCAGTTCAACGTAAAGCAGTAAACATTTGATTTCATCGTTATCGATCACTTTCTATATATAGATGTTAATAAAGTATAAATAAACTATTTAACACGTTGATCTTTTACCTCTTCAATCGCTACTTCTCCTAGTTGTTCGTTATAGTTCAACTCTTCCTCCTCCTCTCTTCATAGTTGTTTGCTGTTGCTCAATTTTTCTTCCTTCTCTTCTCGTAGTTGTTCACTATTGCTTAACTCTTTTTCCTCCTCTTCTCTCGTAGTTATTCACTATCGCTCAACTCTTCTTCCTCCTCCTCCCTCGTAGTTGTTCATTATAATTCAACTTTATTTCTACCAATTCATCATCATTCAGCTTTACTAGTTGTTTATAAGTATTCGTCACTTGCTTTATTTCTTTAGAAATTTCTTATAAAATCTTATCAACTACATTGTCATGAATTTTTAGATGATTTCGTAATGAAGAATGATGACTGAACTCTCTTTCACAAAATGAACATGCATGGTTTAGCATTTTTTCAAGATTGATTTAAAATAGAATAAAATGTAGATTTTTGTTTTGACGAATTATATCGGTAAGTTTAAATAAACTATTTATTTATCTTGCATAATTATTTTAAGTTTGAGAAGTATCAATCAACATTTAATAAGCATCAACAACATGATTATTTTACATCATATAGTATTACTTGTGATATTAATATGATGAATTTAAGAATCACAGCGTTTAAAAATTAAATTAAATTGATTAATCACATCGTTTATAACAACAGATGTAAATTATCAATATAAAAAGAGTCAAGAAACATTAACAACTTTTTTTTTTATTTTCTTTCTTTTTTTTTTCTCTTTAGAATATTTACTTTGTTAATGAGTGACCCTGTTAACTATAACAATTTAAGATGTCCAAAAACAAGATCAACTACGAATGAAAGAGTAATTATATATCATTTGTAAATTAGCATGTTTGTTTAAATTTATTTTTATGTTTGCTAACTTGTAATTACACTTTAGACTTCAAAAAAAGGTGTTATAAAAAAATTCCTTATTTAGTTACCGAAATTAAACAGATGTACTAATTTCCTAAAAACCAAATATAGCATCAAAAGAAAGTCATTCAACTGATATTAATGAGGAATTAGTTGACAATTTACAACCAAAAAAGAAAACAAAGATCCTGAAGATTGACTTATTTTCAAATAATGATGATATCTTCGCTCAAGCGTCTAAAAGTTCATCATCTCAACCAATGACTCGAACATCTAAAAGTTCATCATCTCAACCAATAATTCAAGTACCTAAAAGTTCATCATCTCAACCAACGACTCAACTGATGGTAGTTATATTTTCATTGTTATTATTTATTTTTTATTATTTCAATATTTTTTCAGTATATTTATCATGTATTTCTATTAGGCAAAAAAGTATCAACAATGCCCTTTCCTATGGTAGTAATACATTCTTATTCTACATCCAAAATAACACCCAAAGTTATGCAAGGTTCCAAAGAATTTGTTAAAGGTCATACAGAATTTATATCAGTAGTTCAGTATTTATCACATATTTACTTACTATTAAATTAATTCTAAATTGTTAGGCAATTTTATATATAAATTAGTGAAGTTAGTTAAAATCAATCAAAAAAATGTGACAAAGCTTGATTATATAACAACTAGATAGGAAAATTTAGAAAAAATGTTGAACGATTAGAGTGCTCAAATATCAGAAATATTGTCAATATTAAAGGATCATGAGAAGATACATACTGAAATCGATATGAAATGCAAAGGAAAAGGAAAAATCAAAATCAAAAATACAGACAAGTTTTATCAAGTAAATATAAATTATTTATACTGTTTCTTTATATTATTTATATTGGCTTATAATTACTCACATTATAGGATGCAGTTAAAAAGTTAGCTCATGAATTATTTTATGAGTACAAACAAGTAGATGAATAATAAATGAAAGATCATATTAAAGAAAAATTAGATGCCGATGAACTTTGTGTTAGTATGCTCCAGAAATCTGAAGAAAAGGGTTTAACATTTGATGATTTATGGAATAAAAAGATAAATTCTGCTGCAAGTAGTCAGTGTTAATTTAAATAATATTATATTAGTGGTTAACAAACATGTACTAATTTATTTGGTAAATTAATCAGTTTCTTGTTACAATCCATACAAAATGAGGGTATTACATTAGACGTGTTAAAGATAGTTTGTGGTTAAAATTTGGTGTAGACTGAATTAAACCTTTCAAAAATAATTACACAAAACATCTGATGAAAGAATGGAAACAGAATAAAAATACTCGAAAAGTATATAAAAATCTATACAAGTCTAGTAATCCCAAAGATGAGAAAGCCGATACATATATAGCATTAATCATTAAATCTGTTTTATAGCTGAAAAAGAACGTATGGCTTTAAACAGTATTTGGGTTCAATCGGTCATTAAAACTATATTTGATGAAAAACATCTTTCTATAAAAATTGATTCAGAAGTTATAGAAACGTGAATTAGCACGTTCAATAATACGGAAATGGTAAGTAAATATTGATTAAATTTATATGGTAGTATTTTAAAGTTAATTACTTAAAATAACTTTAAATTTAGGATGACGGATCTCTGACATATTTGCCTTTATCTACACCTAATTATAATACACCTGTTAATAACCCTGTGGATGATAATTAATTTATATAATGACATTATAGTTTAAAACAAAATTTAAATAACTATAGTTTATATACTATAAATTATAAAATAAATTTCAATTAAAACTAAGCATGTTTTCAACTAATTAATTAGTAATATTATATGTGTTATTCAACTAGTTATATGCATTTTTCAATACTGTTATTTTACTGTATATGTTATTTTACACTTAAATTGTGTTGATTTATGCATTTTATAATGGCATTAGTTAATAAAGGGTTTGTTGCTCAATACTTTTTAGCGTTAAATAACACATGGTGTTTGTTGACATATCAAACGTCTGTCTAAAACTTTCTGATATAGTTTTAGAAAGGAAATTAAAATAAAAACAAATAATAAACCTTATTTTTTTAACTTACCTTTTTAATTTAGGTTCTAATGTTTGATTTGGATATTTAAACAAATACTTAAATTCAGAAAGTGGTGAAACTGCAGCCTAAAATAGATGCAGTCTTTCACTATCATTCTTTTCACTAGAGACTGATAATATTAATAACTTTTAATTATTATAATTGTACTTAAAATTATATATGTAATTTTAAAGAAATATTACCAAATGCTACTAAATATATTATACAAAAAGAATTACAGTAGCGGTCATAAGTATCCGACTGCTAATATTTTCTAAAATCAAGTAATAACATCCACTAAAATTTTCCAAAATTTAAGTTCAATACCAATGTTAATCACATGTAAAATTATAGATTTGTATCATGTATAATTTAGAAATTAGATGACAATAGATTTTATATTTCAAAAAAAATGACATTTTTTTTATGTAAATGATTTCATTTTTTATTATTTAACGCCTAAACTCCTTAAATATATAGAATTTTTTTTTAATATATTAGTTTTTTTAGGAGTTATTACACATTTTTTATAGAATTTTAGATAGATTACACAATTAGTTAGAGAATTTCAATAATACTGTATTCTTTCTTTTAATTTTTGAATAATGTTTATATTTATTAACTTTTTGCCAAATTTACTATAAGTTATCTTTTCTTAAATATTTAGATATAAGCCAAAAAAATCACTTTTATAAAAATTATATGTAAAATTAACATTAGATTTTTGCTGAAAGAAAATTGGTTTATCAAATCGCAAATCTAAAAAATCACTATAATATGGACATTTTAGCAAATATTATAACTTTTGTTTATTACTAAAATCTTTATTTAAATGATATTTTTAAATATAATAACATTATAATTTTATTACAATAGATATAAAGTAGCTATATTTTTGAAACCATTTCAGTCATTATTGAAATTTATATAAAAAATCTATTTTGTTTAATTTATTAAAAAATATTAGTACTTTACATGCAAAATTCATTGATCATCTAATTTTTGATTTATATATTATACAAGCTTATAATTTTACGCGTGATCAATATTGGTATTATACTTGAATTTTAGAAAATTTTAATGGGTATTATTAATTAATTTTAAGAATTATGAAGGGTCGGATACTTATGACCGCTTCTATAAGTAGTAATTTGAATGATTATAGTAATAAAAGTAATGACGATTTTAATAAAAATTAAAAAAATAAAAACAGAATTAATGAGCAATACGAAAATGATAATAATATTAATTAAGGTAAACAAAATTGTAATTTACTTAGTTTAATAACAATAATTATATTTAATAAATTATTATTAGTTATTAATTTAATTGATTGTTATTAGATTTGATAATGGTATAGTATCAGATTTCATAAGTATTTTTTATTATATTTATTTATTTATTAATGATAAATTAATTTTTTTTATATATAGTAGCTTTGTATAATCTTTATTAAAAGTAAAGTAAAATTTTACAAAATTACAAATTACAAAAGAAGAGAGTATAAAAATTTCTATTTAGCTAATAAAACTAAATCAAAATCAACCTTACATCATTTTAGACTAATCTACTCAAATTAAATTAGAATAAGTTCAACCATTCAGTATAGGAAGTGTGATTACTACTGATCTAAAAATTTGATCAGTTCATACTATACCTAAAAGAAGAGACAAAATAAGGTAGAATAATAAAAAAATATAGGTTTGATAGAAAGAAGTCAGTGTTGATAAAATGTGATTTTTGGTTATGCAGTGATATATTATTGAGGTTTTCAAATTGTTTGATGGTAGTGTATCGATCAAGTCAAAGGCTTTTAATTTTAGATAATATATAATAATAAGTAGAGGTTAGGAGTTCATTTGTTAACTAAAAATTGTTGATAAGGTGGTGAATTTTGTTAAATAAGAAGGAGGATACAATTCCTTTGATCAAGTCAATAAAATTAAAAGAGCCAATTTGATCATTTAATAACCAAACATCTATATTAAAAAAATCAGAAAAATTATGAGTATCAAAGATTAATATAGTTAATTGCTAAGTAAAAAAACATTTAGTAGAGAATATAATATCAACAATTTGATATTTAATACTATTATAAGTTCAAATATGATCAAAAGTTTCATGAGTAGATGAGTATCTAGAATAATTTCATACTAGTCGAAATAGTTCAAATTGGCTAAAATCAGATAGCTGATTTTAGGCTGATTTTGATACTATTTATGGCCGATTTGCCATGTTTTCTGATCAGCACAAACAGGTGCTGATAGATGCCAATTGATCCCAATTGGACATGGTCATTCAGCATCAATTCAAAACTTAAATTCAACCATAAATTGGCCTAAAACTGGCCTCAATTCAGCAACAATTCAGACGTCGATAGATGACGATTGACTCCAATCAGACATAGCCATTCAGATTAAATTCAACCATAAATCAGCCTAAAATTGACCTTAATTTAGTATCATTCGGCATTAATTCAAAACTTAAATAACATAAATTGGCTTAAAATTGACCTCAATATAGCACCATTTGGCATCAATTCAGAACTTAAATAATCATAAATCAGCCTAAAATTGATCTAAATTCAGCATCATTCAGCATCAATTCAGAATTTAAATAACTATAAATTAGCCTAAAATTGGTCTCAATTTGGTATCAATTCAGTCAAATAAGCATATAAAATCGATATATTATATTTA